AAAAAGAAAAAGAAAAAAAAAACAGAGAGAGAGACGGGGACAGCTACGCCAACTCAACTTCAGTTGTCAGTTGAACTTGATCGACATCTTGGCGAACGTTACCTCAGCGCAGATTAATTCTATCGTGTCATTGAAAGAAATACCATTCAGTCGTCGTAGCAATAAGGATAAATTGGCAATTAAAGAATTAGGACCACCAAGACCAAATTTAAACATCAAACATGTATCAACAAAGGGCGGGAAGTCGTGTAAACGGGGATTTTCGAGGATGTGGTATGAGCGGAAAAAATGGCTAGCGGGCTGCGAAGTAGCTAACGCTTTATTCTGCTACCCCTGCATTTTGTTCCATCCCTAGAGTGTGACAGACATCGCATGGACAACTACAGGTGTAATGTAATACAAGTGAGTAATGTGATGTAAGTAAGCAGTGTAATGTAAGGGAGCAGTGTAACTTAAGTGAGTAATGTGATGTAAGTAAGCAGTGTAATGTAAGGGAGCAATGTAATATAAGTGAGTAATGTGATGTAAGTAAGCAGTGTAATGTAAGGGAGCAGTGTAACCTAAGTGAGTAATGTGATGCAAGTAAGAAGTGTAATGTAAGGGAGCAGTGTAACTTAAGTGAGTAATGTCATGTAAGTAAGCAGTGTAATGTAAGGGAGCAGTGTAACTTAAGTGAGTAATGTGATGTAAGTAAGCAGTGTAAATGTAAGTAAGCAGTGTAATGTAAGGGAGCAATGTAATATAAGTGAGTAATGTGATGTAAGTAAGCAGTGTAATGTAAGGGAGCAATGTAATATAAGTGAGTAATGTGATGTAAGTAAGCAGTGTAATGTAAGTGAGCAATGTAACCTAAGTGAGTAATGTGATGTAAGTAAGCAGTGTAATGTAAGGGAGCAGTGATAGAGTCAGTTTATTTTTAATTAATACTATAGTTCAGTTTCCTTTACATCTTTAACTAGCCGTTAATTCATCAATTGAATGGGTGACCTATCCTCATTAATCATGCAAACATTTGCCCCCCCTGAGAGAATTGGCAGGAGCCGCCACTGTTTGGAAGTTTTAAAAAGACGATCCCTTTACCAACATAATCGCAAGAAATATTATTTCTGATATTTTTGTGACTCTTGCCTTCTTCTGCTGACTCTCCTCCTCTATAGGAACAGTGTTGTGAGTCCTGTGGTCTCCTTCAGTGCAGGACAGACACACACTCATCTGATCATCTCTGCAGAACAGCTCCAGAGGTCTCTCGTGTTTCTGGCATATATAATCCTCCAGATTTTCCACAGCGTTGATCAGTGTGTGTTTCTTTAGACGCTGGACTCTGTGATGAGGCTCCAGGTGAGTCTCACAGTAAGAGCTTTGACACGTCAGGCAGGACTTCATGGCTTTCTGCTTTATTCCTTCACAGAAGTCACAAAATACCTCAGATCTTCCTGGATTGAGCTTCTCATTGAAGTGCTGCACAACCTCTCTGAGTGTTATATTAATCTTGAGATCAGGTCTTCTGCTGAACTTTTCTTTACAGAGTGGACAGAAGCAGATATGTGTGTTTGTCCAGTGCTTGTTCAGACAGGTTCTGCAGAAGTTGTGTCCACATGGAGTGGTGACTGGATCAGTGAACCCATCCAGACAGATGGAGCACTGGAGCTCCTCATTTAGTGGACCACTGGAGGATGCCATGCTGAAAAGATAAGTAATGACAATATATCATCTACATTGCTGAACTGAACAATAAAAAAAAAAAAAACGTAATAAGGTGCATTAAGTGCCAGGTTTACTAAAGGCAAATTAGTACGGAAGTCATAAGAGGCCATAGATTATTATTATTTTTCTTTATTGTTTTCTCGTGACCACAACTTACTTTTCTTGTCATCTCAACATAGCACATAGGAAACATTTATTGCTCAGCGGTTGCTTTTCCTTTTCCTATTCTCCACCCGATGTCCTGAGCAGCTCAGTTGAGGTCCTCACCTCTATGGAACTCTTATTGGAGGTTTATGAATAAATTCAGATAATATGTTACTCATTTTAAATTACTCAGAGACTTGTTTAAAATAAGTTTAACACATCACCATAGGAAATGGTTTTGCTTTATTAAAACAATAACTCATAAGCAAATACACTAAAAATAAACAGCGAGAAGTCTTCACCCCGAATTGCGGCACTGATGTATTCCATTCATCACATTTTATAATCATACAAACAATACGTCCCTTTTCCGTATCTCCATATTCCGATAATACATAAACCATCCCACACCCCTTTCTCTTAGTGTGAGCGAAGCATAGATTGCGTATGCCAGGAAGTGTGACTTTTGACCCAGTTAACGAACTCATAGTAGCATAAATTCAAATGAAGTAATCAGCATCTTTTTTAGAGAAGCAAGCTAATCTATCTCTACTTTAATCTAAACAATTACAACATCTTAAAGGCGTAGGCTTAGGCAAATAGCAGTTTCTAAACTATATTGCAATATTTCTTGTAAGATAAGATAAAACATTTCACAATACAACACCTTAAGAAAGAAGGTCCATTCTGCAACGTTGTTGCAAAATGCATCTCCTTGCACAATCATTGTACAGTGATTTTTGTACAGGCGCTTTTAATTGTTGAGTAAAAAAAACTCTAACATGATGTATCTCCTTTTTAGGACTTTTCAGATGTTTGTAATCTCAAAGCTTTGATGTTTTTTTGATGATTTTTTTGATGAACCTTGTAGTTGCCCTAATGAAAAGCTACTTGAATTCAGAAGTAACTGTAGTATTAGTAAAATCATGAATCAAGCAAAAACTATGCTCCTCATTACCATGGTCTTTTGGTTTCTATAACAACAATAACAAAATTAATACTATAATTATTACTACTATTAATAATGATAAACTATGGTATTTGTAATGAAAAAAAAAATCATAAACACACAACTAAACTAAAACAAGCTCTATAAAAGTGACAAAATGTAATATAATTGTCTAATAATAGTGACATCAATAATAAATATCATAATGCCATATTCCTACAAGTCTCAAGTCTACTTTATTTATAGAGCCCTTTCCACTACAAAGTAGACCAAAGGACTGTACAGCAACACAACAAGATGAGAATAGTAAAAACAAAAATCAACAATATCAGAACATCAATTAAAACAATTTACATCTCCCAAAAGTCAACAATTAAAAGCCATAGAAAACAAGTATGTTTTCACGCGAGATTTAAAAACATCAACTGAGGGTACAGATCTGATGTCAGGTGGAAGGGTGTTTCACAGTCTTGGGCCAGCGACCGAAAATGCACGATCCCCCTTAGTTTTCAGGTGAGTTTTCGGAACTGAGAGCAGTAAGCAGTTAAATGATCTTTGAGGTCTACCAGAGTTAAAATGAATCAGGTCCGTAATATATTCTGGGGCCATATCATGGACAGCTTTAAAAACGTACAGCAACACCTTATACTGAATCCGATATTTAACCCGAAGCCAATGCAGCTTTTCCAAAACTGGAGTAATATGCTCCCTTTTCTTTGTGCTAGTCTCGCAGCTGCATTCTGGACCAATTGCAATTTTGAAATAAGAGATTGGCTCACTCCCAAATAAAGTGCATTACAGTAGTCCAAACGGGAGGAGATAAATCTCAAGATCAGCAACAGACAAAAAGGATTTCATTTTTGCAATAGTCCACTTTTTACCACACATTTAATCTGATGATCAAACATTAGAGCTGAGTCAAAAATTACACCCAGATTTCTTATTTGAGACTGCACATGTGTTGTCCATGTACCTAACACATCGTTTATGTCACAGTCAACCTTATTTGGCCCAAAAATGATTACTTCCGATTTACTCGCATTTAGCTGTAGGCGATTTTGCTCTAACCAGCACTTCTCCTCCTCAAGACATAATAACAAAGATGAATGAGAAGTTGATCCTCCAAATCTAATAGGCAAATACATCTGAATATCATCAGCATAAAGATAAGACAAGACATACTGTGTTTTTAAAAAATAAGGCCTAAAGGCAACAGAAATAGTGAAAACAGAATAGGCCCCAAAATGGAGCCCTGAGGTACTCCACAGTCAATAGAGACTGAAGAGGAAGAAAATTCCCCAACCCTCACTGAAAAGGATCGTCCCTTCAAATAAGAAGAAAACCATTTTAAAACAGTCCCTCTCAGACCCACAACAGGCTCTAAACGTTTAATAAGGATATCATGATCTATTAGATCAAAAGCTGCACTAAGGTTGAGCATAATTAAAGCTCCTCGACTACCCGAGTCTGCAATGAGTAACAAATAATTGGAAACTCGCAATAAAGCTGATTCAGTGCTGTGTCCTGCCCTAAAACCAGACTGAAAAGCATCTAGCACATCATTATTAGCCAAAAAAGAGCTCAGCTGAGATAAAACCACTTTCTCCAATATTTTCGAAATACAGGGCAGCTTTGAAATTGGCCGATAATTTGTGAAATCCAAAGGGTCCAGAGTAGACTTCTTGAGAAGGGCTGAATGACAGCTTGCTTAAGACATGATGGAAAAAGACCTGTAGAAAGGCTACAGTTCACAATAGATGTAATACTTGGTCCAATAAAGTCAGCTGTCGCACCAAGTAAACCTGAAGGCAAAACATCCCAACTGGTAGCTGGGCGTTTCAATTGAGCAATAATATGACTAATATCGATAGATGAAACCAGATCAAATTCATCAAAAGTGTTGACATTAGTAGAGTTGTCTGCTACCTTTCCATCTAAATCACGAAACCTGGACCTAATGTTTTTAGTTTTTCCAGAGAAAACACTTAAAAACTTCTCACAACACTCTGTAGATGGAGGTATCGGAACAGCATTTGGATTAAAAAACCTATTAATAGTTTGAAACAAATTTTTTGGTGAGTTTGAGTGCTGCGATATAATAATTGAAAAATAGGCTGCTTTAGCATCCTTTACAGCTTTCTGATACCCAAGAAGTGAGTCTCGTAAAATCTGGTGAGAGACCAGAAGTTTATTTTTCTTCCAAGCCCATTCTGCCTTCCTACACTGCTGTCTAAGAACACGAGTATGTTCATTAAACCAAGGCTGACGATTTACCTTACGATGCTTAATATTCTAAGGAGCAACAGAGTCCAAGACTTCAGAACATACAGAATTAAAAACAGTAAGTAATTAATCTGGATCAGCTGTGAGAGGTGCAGACTCCAACCATGATACATCAGAAAAGGTACTAAAAATCTCACCAAAAGCCTGTGGTGTTGATGGAGTAATTGTACGGGAACAAACATAAGAGGACTGACTCGCCCTCATTTCATTTAGCACATTTACACTGAAAGTAACAGGCATATGATCCGAAATGCAAACATCATTAACATCAACAACACAAATTGACAGCCCTAAGGAAAAAACAAGGTCCAAAGTATGTCCTTCTCATGCGTAGGGCCAGAGACATGCTGAATAAAATTAAATGAGTCCATCAGGTCCGAAACCTCCCTGACCAAAGGCTTCCCAGGACAACAGATACGAATATTAAAATAGCCAACAATTAAGATATAATCAGACAATAATAAAACAGAGGATAAAAAAACTGAAAATTCCTAAAAGACTGGCTATACTTTGGAGGTCGATAAATGACCACACCCAAAACAGGCTTAAAGAACTCCAGTTTTAACAATTGAACTTCAAAGCTTAAGTAGTTCAGGGTCGATAAACGGTGACATTTAAACTGCTGTTTGCACACTGTAGCTAGACCCCCACCACGACCCACGGATCTTGGGGTATTAATTAAATTATAGTCAGTTGGACAAAGTTCATCACATGGACTCCACTCATCCACATTAGTCTCTGTGATAAATAAAAAGTCCAAGATATTATGTGAAATAAAATAATTTAAAATGAAAGTCTTGTTTGAAATCGAGCGTGCATTAACCAGCGACATCTTTAAAGTCTGTGAAACCGTGGAATCGACAACTGTGGCTTGACCAGACTTTACCGTCTTAGGATATAGTAAGTTAGTAATTGCATGGTAAATAGGGGTGGTGCTGTGTGGATTGAAATGCTTGTATTTATGGTTTTGTACAGTCTGCACCGGCGCCGTCATCCCCCATGTATTCTACAGTATGGCCATGCGGTCCAAGTAGGGTTGCCACCCGTCCCTTAAAATACGGAATCGTCCCGTATTTAAAGGGGTCATATGATGTTGCTAAAAATAACATTATTTTGTAGAAATGTTACGCCCCTCACCATACTGTGATGCCGTCTCCCAGCACTATGAGACAAAACCAATGAAACCCATTACAAATTAGGTATTTGTTGCATCCAGTGGGCACATAATTACTGATTATAATGACTTATACTGTCTTTTTACGCGTTGCGTTGCGTATCGCGCTCCGTAAACATAAAACCATGTCTGCATTTGTGAGTGGATAAATGACAAACAACAAGCGCTACTCTACACTGCTCAAAACTCGCGTTTGAATCATCAGTGGCAAATCCTTTAAATGAAAACGTACTTACGTGAGTCAGAACTGCCGGCATTTTAGTCTAACGTTACTCTTCCAGGATCAGTAAACAGTCCTCCATAAAATGTGCTGCACACATCTGATTATTTGGGTTGAAGTGTTCTGGAACAGTGTTGTAAATACAACTTAACCACTGATTTCTAGTCGTGTCCTCTTTTGGAAGGCCAAACAAAGTAGTTTCGCTT